TTTTCGTCTCCGGATACCATAGGCGTATTAATCACGATATCGATGTCTCTGTGGACGCTCCTAGGGACCCCGCGCCTGCGGAGTGGCGGGCACTTACCCACTGAGAAGAGATAGGTCTTGTGCCATACTACCGAACACTTTGACGTCTGAACACCAGTAACGTCTCTGGATAATCTCAGTCAGCCGTGCAATGAGTCTCTCGCGCACAGTGCGCTCTGTGGCATTTGGCGTCGCATAGTTCATAAACGCCACAATTTCATCGTGCAGCCTGGGATGAACGTGTCAGTCGCGCTGTCAGCCGCAAACACGCGTATCTGGCACCCACCGCTGCTCTGTAGAGTTGTATTGTGTCACAGGCAAGCGCTCCAGCCATGGCGTGAGCAACTCCTCGCGAGTGTCTCTCTTCGCCCCTGATCTTGATCCTAGAGTTGCACCCGTCGCTGCAGGCGCATTGTCGGGCCTAGAAGGCAGCACTGCGGCCGCGAAGGTGGGTTTCGCTGGCAGGCTAAGATGAGGTGCGGGCAGAGTCGACATGGGCCACCGCGTATGATGTGAGGGTTCGCGAAAAACGGGTTGTCTCCATCTGAAAGTGCGAACGAACTCGGTTGACTCGACCGTTTTGGTGCACATCCTTGACCTGCCTGTTTTGGGCGTGATGGCCGCTGGCGGGCATTTTAGGAAGCTAGATCCCACGCCTCGGCATTCCTCTAGATCTACGACCATAGCGAGCCACAGATGCCGTATGCACATGCAGAGCAATGTTACAGTGACTTCTCCAACAGCATATAGATTTTGACGCATGGTACTCGTGAAGTTGAAGTTGGCGAGAACGCTGCGGACATCAATCATCTGGTCATTAGATTTCCTGTCTTTCGGTATCCGCCATCATACAGTATCCGTTGCTGACGAAGCAGACTACTCAGGTTCGCGAAGCGATCTCCTACGAGGTCTCGAATGCAGCCAAGCCGTTCATCTCCCCTTCTCAGGTAATAGCCATTTATTTCTTATTTCTACTTATCTCTTTTTCTTTACCTCTTTCTGGCGTAAGAGCCATTAACTGGCCAGCCGTCCGCCTATTTTTACAACAACGAAAGCGGTAACGGGTACTACCGCCATCGTGTCCGCCAACCACGTCCAACCGTGGCATTGGTGACACGATAGCAGATACTCTTGGTTTACATGATCTTACAAGCTCAGCTTCGCTTTGCTGAAACGGATTTCCTGCCAGTTTCGGCCATGGGTTCACCAACGGTAACAGCTTTGAAGTGGCAGTGACGTACAGTTCAAGAAAGCCCAGCCGTGGGGCGGCGTCGGTACAGAGACACGAATAGAGCATATTGGCTTTCTAGCCCAACCCAGTGCCCGAACGGTGGACTCTCCTTGGAAGAGCTAAACCAACAAATCTGGGAAATCACGGCTGTGCGTCGATAATAGCCGTTTCTCTTGCATTTACAGCTTCTGACTTATTCTACGCTATTATCCTGTGCTCCGCCAATCTGTCTACCCAGATGGCTCGACGTTAAAGGCTCTGCGCTGGCACATTATTCTGCTCAGGCTCAGGCTCCATGCCGCGAATGGAGATGTAGCTTGCCATGTATTCGTGAATATTCAAACACCCGCTTCTTCGGTCATCCTGGAGGTGCGCTTGAGAATACTTGCTCTTCTCCAGCCTCGCAGGACAAATCAGCCTGTGCCTAAAACCGTTTCAAGAAGGAAAGGCCACGCACAGCTCAGCAGAGTAATGATGCAGAGATGACGGGACGTCGATATCTGGACGAATTTGCGGATTCCGGCACTCTGTCTTACACTTCGACCTCGAGCAAGTTTTCACATGCGACACCTTGCCTGTGTACTTCGACGACATGCGCAGCTATCGCATGTGGAGTCGCCCTCGCTTCTCCCGCTGTACGAGGTTGCGGCAGCACCGTGGTCTCGGAAATGCTCCCGGAAATGTTCATTAATCTCCCGCTCGTATGAGATTGTTCGGTGAGCCGTCCGCAACCGCGCCAGGCTGTGCCCACGCCACATTTGTTCCAGCACGCCCCAAGGGATTAATGAGCCTGTCCGACTCCTGGCGCCCACGCCGATCGCGAAGCCTCCCGTGCGAGCTAGCTTCTCGCGGGCGGCTCAGACGAGTCTCACCATCGCCTCCGCGGCCATGTCGGCGGGGGGGCACGCACAGGCCACCCCCGGCTTCAGTGCTAACCGGACCTAGCAAGCACGCACCTCTCTGAACGCATACACTGCGACCGCCCCGCCATATGAGGCCTGTACGTCACTTCTGCGTGTCACATGCGCCCACCCGCCCATCCCCCAAACCCCCCAACGCAGGCCCGCGAGCCACACCGGCACCCGCGCGAGAAGAAGGCCCAAAAACCGCTTCGAATCGCACACCCCCGCATCCGAGACAAAGACTGCGACGAAAGAGGAAGGAGCGAGCGCCGCGGCGGAAGAGGGAGAAAGGCCCAGGGGAGCGGAGCGTGCGAGGCGACGTCCTGGCGACGGGTTGCCCACGGTCATTTTTTGCATCACGTCCGCGACCGGAGACGTGCTTCGCGACACCATGACAGAGGCCCACAGTCGTCTACAGGTGCTGACAACCGTTTGTTCTGCCGAAGAAACGGAATAGAGAGAGAGGCGTGTGAGAGACCGGTGCCGCTCCTTCAATTCCCTCCCGCCGCCGCCGCCGCCGCCGCCGCCTCCGCCACCGTTGTTTCTATTGTTCTTCTTGCCGCGGTACAAGGCGCGCGCCTGCCAGTGCGCGTCCGCGAGGTGCGTGTGGGTTCGGAAGTGCGGCCAGCCAGGCGTTCGAGAGCCTCATGGCAACGTTTCCGCTTCCCTTCTGCATCAACAAACATGCATACCGGCGCTCCGAGCGCCTCGCCAGGCCGCGTTCTGGGGGCTTTCAAACGCGCCTCGGTGCCCATCGCAAGAAGAAGGCTGCCAGGTCAGGTTCCGCACCGCGGGGACCGTCCTGCCTCCCCAAGAAAAAACGAAAAAAGTACGCGCCGTGTCCTGAGCCGACTCCCAGCTGGAGCTGCGTCTGTCGAACTGTAGGATGAACCTGGCTGTCTCAGACGCCCTCCCCCGGCTTGGGGTCGCGCGCGCCACAGACGAGCACGTCGCAATCTTCGGATGCGAGGCTGCGGCCCGGTCTGCCAAAGGTCTCATGATTGAGCTTGCGATGGCCCAAGCTGGGCGATATCCAGGTGACTCTGCCGGCGTGCCGACGTGATGTGCAGGTTCCTCGCAGGTTGCAAAGCGCAAGCTCCGACAACGGAGGTTCCAGCCAGCCAGCCAGCCAGTCCAATCGGGGGTCATTTGCATTTCGTGAGCGGGGTCGTTACAGGTCGTGACGTGATGGCTACAGAAGTAGGAGGGGAGGTGTGTGCAGCAGCAGCGATGGATGGATGGATGAGACATATGGGTACAGCTGAATAAAGAGATGATGGTTGCATGCAAGTTCAGAAGTCCGATGATGATGCCGAGAGACTCGAAAAAAAAATGCCAGACGAAGGGAGACAAAAAAAAGAAAAGCGTGCATGTACGGCAGAAACCAAAAAGACGAACGAACGAACGAACGAAACGCCCGGAGAGACTAAAGTGGGGGGTATAACGGAGTCCCGGGAGACCAGACCACTCTTCTAGGGTGTTTAAATGTTAAACCCGTAGCCGGCGGATACCCGCTCGCGAAACGTGTGCGCGGGGGCGGCCACGGCGTACTGGGGGTGGTGCGCCTGCGCAGGCAGCGAGCGCACGTCGGATTGCGGCCACGCGTAGCCGTACGTGTACTCGAGGTACGCGGGCTCGGCGGGGCCGGGCGTGCTGCCGGGCGAGGAGAGCTCGGCGAGGGGCGGCGAGTACGTGTACGCGGCGGCGGCGTGGGCGGGCGGGGCGGCGTCGCGCTCGAGCGGGACGACCATGCGCGGGAGCGGCGGGATGAGGACGCCCATGCTCGGCGAGACGGGGTGGGCCTCGGGCGACGACGAGGGCGAGACGCAGACGCGCTCGAGCGGGCCGAACTCGCTCGGCGAGGCGTGTCGGTGGTTCTTGAGGTGCTGGAGCAGGTTGTCGTGGCGGGTGAACAGCCGGCCGCAGTTGAGCTCCTCGCACCGGAAGGCTGGGAGGGGGTAAGCATGGAGGGTGTGGGACAGACGGACGGGTGCTCACGCTTCTCGTTGGTGTGGATGGAGCGTGTGTGCCGCTTGAGGTGCTCGGAGCGCGTGAAGACTTTGCGGCAGTCTTCAACCGGGCATGCGTAGGCCCTGCCGTTGCCAGGCTTGAGGAGCGTGTCCTTGGTGGGCACCGGACGGCCTCTCGCCTTCTTGGTGAGGTTCGGGATAGCGACGGGATTCGGGCGGCGTGCGCCTCTGCGGGCCATCTTGGGCGAGTTCTTGGCGGAGAGAGCGTCGGCGATCGTGTTACTGGTGGGGTCATCCAGGAAAACGAGGGCAGGAGAGGACGGAGAGCCGGCGATGGAGGCGGTTTCAGGAGCAAAGGGCAGTGCTTGTGATTCATAAGACATAGGAGGGCTTTGAGGGATGGAGTCTGGACGGGACACCATGACCTGATCCCAGTGGCTGGCACTGAGCGGCGGAGGAAGTTGCTCGCCTCGATAGCTCATCGGGGGGCTGGACTAGAGAGCAAGGTCGAGGAGGAGGGTGATGAGGAGAAAAGAGGAGGGACGTACCCAGGTATAGTTGTAACTGACATCCACATAAGCCTCGGCACCGAACTGACTCATTACTGGAGTTTCCATTCGCGACCGAGAGCTTTTGCGGTCAGTGTGCAGCTGGGGGGGGACAGGGGTTATGGCGATGCGTGGTGGCGGGAGAGAGCTAGGGGGACTCCACCTGACATATAAAGGGCTGGGTGCCGTCTTGGATCTGGGTCCGTCTCCAGCAGCGCGACGATGCGAGCGTCGGTGTTCCTGTGAGGTGTGTTGCGCACGACCTGCGAGCGAAAGGCGTGCGGATCGTGGAAGAGGGAAGGAGAGCGAGCGAGACATTGTGAACCCCCTATTTACATCGCCCCGGCAGTCTCGAATAGTCCATTCCCTCCATCTCCATATACGGCATCCACACCCCCGGGTCACTTTAGCCTTCGCGTGGGAGCCATGTGCGCGCGCTCCCCCCGGGCCCTCCGCCCGGCGCTCCGTCGCCTTATCCGGCCAAGCCGCTCGACCCTCCGCGCCCCGGCCGCCGACAGCGCACCGCACGCCCTGCCGCACTTCCCTCTGCCGTCTCCTCGCCAGCCAGCACGCCCCGCAACGCCCATCCCGCATTATTCCTGTACCCTGTCCCCGCGCTGGGCAGACGGCACTCATGTCTGGACAAATCGTCCCGACTTGGTTTGATGAATAGAAGGTCTGACCGTTCGTCTCATCGTTTGGTCCTGATGGCGCAGATACGGTTCTGGGATCAACACCCTCTCTGAACCTTCAGGCCTTCTTTCCGATGCTCCATTAGGCCGCAGACCCACCAACTGGTCAAACGAACATCGCCTCGGACGCTGCGGACGCTGCGATGGCCCGCCGCGACGCACCAGCACAGCACTCCATTACACAGGAAGAGCCCCCATCGTGTATTTTAAATGCCACCAACATGAACCGCCTGCTCGCCAATCCCTACCGTCTCCAAGGGCTCGCGCTCTGACGAGGCGTTTGATACGTCACAGATACGCCGCCTTCCTCCAGCTCTTCACCGCTACCCGTCGTCCCGAGTCTGGCTTCCCTGGTGACCTGCCTTCGGCCTCCCATCCGGACCAATCTCGCTATCTGCCGCCTTGCCCGTCTCCACTTCTCAATGCTCTTCCATCGCCCAAGCTGCTATAGCCGAGTCATCGCAGCAGCTTCTTCTGGTAAGCCTCTGTGTCCTGGTGTTTTTGCGAAGAGGCTGGGCTCAATTGTCCGGCAGACACACGCCGTGCGCACAAAGGGCCGCGGCTCAGGGTCCTACCAAATGCACCGTCTCGCGGTCCGTCACTCACCACGTCACCTGAATGAACCCGAAACCGTCTGCACAAGGTCATGGAACCCTGCCCAAGCGAGGCGCCCCGACCGCACATCATTCCCTCGATATCCCAGGGCTGCATCCTCAAAAGAGCACAAGGACGCACCAGGCCTGGTCTCTCTTTTGCCATGGTCAGGCAAAACACCGCTCCCATTACGTCTTCTGCGAGCACGCCAAGCCGGTGAGTTTCTGCTGTTCATTAAGGCCACGAGCAATACCCAGATGACGTGCAGTAGTCCCCGGCTTAATGAAAGATCGGTCGCAGTATTACGGTTTCCTCACGAACCATGAAGACTGCGGAAGTCATTTGCGTCGACTCATCATCACAGAATTACCACACCACCGTCTTCGTGCTCCGCCGGTTAATGCCCCGACCTCGGTCCAAATACGGCCGCCTCAGGCCTGCTGCCGTCCGCGTATCGCACACTGTCTCACAGCCCGCCACCGCCACCCCACTCTGTCGATCCGGTGTTTCCTTGTACAGCACAGCGGCCACGTCGGCCAACCGCGGTTTCGGCCAGATCCAACCGCTAGTTCTGCCAGAGTGATCGCGACGTGTCCCTGCAACGGCCCTGCCTTGGGGCTCCCAGGTCGCCGCGCCACAGCTTCTCTCTCCCTCTCTCTCTCTCTCTCTCGCCTGCGGGTGTGTATGTGGCTGGCTGCGGCCAGCACGCCCGGACAAACTGCCGGCTCCTTTTTACTGCCCGCACACCCTGGGGGTCGGTTGCTCTCCTTGGGACGGACGGGCGGACGGAGACTGCCGCCGAGCTGTGCGCTGCGTCCTCCACCGTTTCTCACCCTGCCTGGACGCTCGAACCCTCGCGCAGGCCTTGTGATCCCCTGCCTGTGCCTATTTGAGGAGGCGATCTAAGGTTCGGGATCTTCCTTCCCTGCCTCTGCTGCCGCCGGGCCATTTCCCTGTGCTTCCACGGTTCGCACGTTATCCGTTATTGGTCCTCAGGGCTCTTCCTCGTCGGACGTGTACGTTAGAGCTTGCATGGCCGGGACATTCGGCCCCGGCATCAATGCAAACAGAAGCATAAAATAAAATAAAAATAAAAAATGAAACTCCGTCTGCTCGGCCCCTGCCTCGTGGCGCCTGCCTGCGGTCGCGCTGCAGGGCGGCGGCAGCAGCGCGCAAGCCAGACCCTTGGCATCTCCCGCGAACGCGAGCGAGCAAAGCGCGACAGCGCGCGCGCAGGGAAGGCGGGCATGTGAAAAATACGCCCGCCCCCACCCATGTTATCGCGCCTTCGCAATCGATTGATATCTCGCGTTCACAGGCCAGGGTGACCCCAGGAGAGAGAGTGGGGCTTCTCACCGGCCGTTTGCGCGCGTGCGCGGCTGTGCGCGCGAAACTTCCGCCCGCCACGGCCTGCGGCCGACGCAGTACGTGGGCCCACCAGGTCAGGTCACCCGCTTGTGAGGGCCTCCGCAGGCCTCGCCGCCGCAGGCCGGCTCGGGAACGGTCGGCGATGCCTGAACGGGGGGACAATGACTCGTCGTGGGGTGCTTCTCTTCCCAGGAGGGACGCCCTTCTCTACGGGGCGGTGCGGCGGGACCCGCGCGGCTGAACTGGCATCCGGGGGAAGGAACAGGGCGGAAGAGAGAGCGCGCGCGCGCGTACGTCGCTCTTCCGTTGTGGCGTCCTGCCACGCAACGGCCCCTTGCGCTGTGGCGCCGCATCGCACGCAGCGGGCATCATCGAGGGCACCGACTTCAACGGGCCTGTTTTGTGCGCACGGGCCCAGCGTACGCACTGTGCCCTGGCCTGGCCCTTCTCTTTTGTTTTCTGGACCATGTTAGCGCGCGGGCGGGGCAGCCGGGGTTTACGCAGGGCAAAGGCAGCTCTTCTAGGCACACGCGCCGCCGCCGCCCGGCTCGGCATGGCATGGCAAAAGAGGTGTGCGAGTGTCGGTGGGGGGCAGATGGGGGTTTTCCTTGCCCGAGCCGTCGGCCGTTTGTTGCGCCTTGCCTGCCTTGGCGCAAGTATCCTCCGCTTTTGCAAATTGCTCGCGATCGGTGCGCGAGCGTCGCCTCGTCCGGTACGGGTGGTAAACATCCGTTTCTTGGCAGTTTTGCTCCAGGCCGTGCTTTCGCATTGCAACGGTTGGCGCAATCCGTGGCGAACGTTCACGCTATCATTGTCAAGGGCGCTCGTTCGAGTTGGTCTCTCGCTTCCGCTTTCGAGTTGGTCCTCACTTCAGACGGCCAGAAGTCTGGTGCAAGGGAGACAGACGACAGTGGTTTGACAGGGATGAGCCGTCCAGCCGCGAGAAAGTTCAGATACCGTACAATGCGGTGGCAGTATTGCCTGCATTCCAGGATAATCGCGGACCCTGTACGCCCTTGTCTTAACGCGCGCCAGTATGCCCCGTTCCAATGATCTTGTGGCCACTCTCAATTGTAGTTACATTTGCCGGAAGCGGCCTAGTCGCACGTTGCCTCTCCTTTCACTCTACTCGTTATGTCTGGTGCTGTCATTGACCTCGGACCCCGGAGATTGGGCAGAGAGCTAGAGTGTTCTCCCACCTCTCGAACCGTGTGGGCCTGTTCCTGCGGTCAAGCTTTGGCCTTTTGACTTCTCTACAATGCTCGGAATTCCCAGAGGAAAGGATGGAAGTCCAGGGGCGTGCTCACACCTTTGACCCCGATGTCACTAGTCCGCTTGACAACACTGTCATGTCCCGTCTGATGTTTGGCGTGACTCTGTGACCATCCTCGAGAGCGATCATAATCCCTGGCTTGTGATAAGCAACGCTCTCGTGACTCCTTGGAAACCTTAGATCTCTGTGCTGCAGATCCCCCTCGTCCGATACCAGCGGTTGCCCCGATCCCAAAGGGCCACAGGACAGCCCTAAAGGGGACGTTCGAAACACTTGCAGGGCTCACAGATCGTCGTCTTTGACGACCATTTCAGCCGCAGACACTCTGCTCGTTGTGCTTTGTTTTTCTTTGCTGGGAACTCTGCTTCGGAACATTAACATGGGCGGGAGCCGCATGGCGTCAAGGCGACTGCGACCGGAGGGCCTAGCACAAGAAAGGCAGGTCGGATGCGGCGGTTTGGCTCGGTGCTCGCGGACATTCGAGGGACCCACTGTTCTGTCGGACCGCCGGTCGCATCGGCAAAAAGGGCCAACCAATATGATGCGAATAATGCATCGTCGGGGGTTCAAAAAAATGCGTTATTGAATGATTTGTGTGTTTATCATGCCAGAGATCGGCCCAGGAACGCAACCATATCGCGTTGTGATAGTGTTGTAGCACGGCGTCCCAGTTAGTGGGGTGTCCCGCACGCAGGTTGGCGGATTGTCCGTGCTCGCGCGTCGCGCGACATCCATATCCACGTACCGCGGGCGGTTTCACCTGCTCGGATGCCTCCCGACGACGTCTGGAAGGTCTGTGCGGTGGCGGAAACCCAAAGAAGAGACGGGCCCGCCGAGAGCGTCGCTGCAAAGAGTCGCCGGATCGATCGCATCCGTCGTTCCCGTTCCTGACCAGGCAAGATCGCTTTCGAGATATTTTGAATGCGTTGGAGCCTGGGCCTCCAAGTTCAGTCGTCATGGAGCGGTGAGCCGCTGCATCTCAGCAGGCGCCCGTCTCTTAGGCTCGAGGCAGCTTGTGCACAGCCTCCGGTCAGTTTCCAAATCGCTGGGCGAGCTGCGCCTGCCCTTTTGGCGCACAGATTGTTTTATAATCTCCAGCGGATCCGGGAATGAACTCTCGATTCAGACCCTCTCCACAAGCCTGAGTCCACTGAGTCTACCGTCGCCCTGCAGCAGTCGCTCACTGCCGCAGAGTGCTCTGAACCCAATACAGTAAGTCCCGCATTTGGCCACATCTCCCGCCACTCGAATTCCAAATCGCCCAAACCCGCCGCGATTTCGCTTCCGTCAGCCCGGATTCTGACCAGCCTGCTGACTCGCCTCTTATATTCTCCAGCCTTGACCCGCGCCGCCATGTCCCACATGGAGTCCACCCTCTTCCTTCCCTACGCCTTGTCTCAGCAGTTCTACGGGGTGCCCGCCGAGATGTACAACCAGGTGTACCCCGCCAACTCGTCGATTAGTCAGCCGTCGTCCTTCGTACGCTCGTCTGCGCAGCATTCGTCGTCACCCCGCCAGTTCTACCGCAACTACAGCCGTTCGCCAGCCGGGGTTTTTCAGGGCGAGCCCATCTCTTCGTCGGCTTCGCCCTCAAGCTCGAGCAGCCTGGCTGCTCCCATGAACGTTCAGGAGCACCCTCAAGACTTCTCTGAGCCCAACTACGCCTTCACGGCTACGGCGGCCGTGACATATCCGCTGGAGAATTCTGTCCCTCGTGGTACGCCCTACGTTCAGGAAGGGCAGATGGGCTATTCGCAGCTACCATCGGCAAAGTTTGAGCCCCAGCTCGACGGTCGATATGCCGATGCACCGGCCTACACCCAAAACTTCTTCGACCGTGCGGCCGAGATGCAGTTCTCGCCACCGGAGATGTCATCTTACTACGACGGCAGCGCCGGTGGCCTCAGCCAAGAGCCGGCTCTGACAGCGTACACCCTCCATGGTGAGTCGCCTATGCGCCTGTTACGTGTGCCGCCCTGCTGACACAGACGCAGACGACCAGCTCCCGTCCGTCGTCCACAGCTTTTCGCACAGCCCGCGGATCGAGCAGCCGGGCTCGCCCGAGTCCGTCTACACCAACGGCTCCCCGCTCTTGCAGTACCCTCCGACGCCGGATGAGGCACCCCAGTACGTCAGCCTCCAGGACGTCTCGCCGTCCCCAGCCGTCTCGCCCGACCAGGTGTACTCAAGCCTCCCGACGCACTCGGCGACACTCAACACGTCCGTCCTCACGGGCTCTTACGTCGTCGGCCAGCCGGCGTCGCCGTCGTCCGTCGAGTACGAGGAGCCGTTCTCGGATGCGACTCCCACGGCGGGTATGTTCGGCACGACAAATGCACCGCCGCGTAAACGTCTGAGAGTGAGCAGCGACGAGGAGGACTCGCGCGTGGGCTCGATTGAGAGCGGTGAGTCGGAGCGCGAGGACGACGACGGTGAGGACGACGATGAGTACAGGCCCGGCGCGCGCGACGGCGGCGTACGCGTCTCCGCCAGGCGAAAAGGCGTCGGGCAAGAGCCAGCATGCGCGCTCGGAGTCGCCGTTCGACGTCCAGCGGCCGCGTCTCGCGCCGCCCGTGCCGGTGCCGAACCTCACAAAGAAGAGCCGCGGCCGCCGGGTGCCCACGTCCGCCGTGCTCGTGTCCCAGAACGGTGTCGAGAAGGTATGTGCGCCCGTCGAGCAACGTGTACTCCCAATGCTGACTGCATCGTTCCCGCGTCTATAGAATATCCGTGGCTACAAGTGCAAGGTACCCGGATGCAACAAGTGCTTCCAACGTGGAGAGCATCTAAAACGTCACGTTCGCAGCATCCACACGAACGACAAGCGTAAGTACCGCTGAATACCGCGTTTCCGAGGCACATCGCTAACTTCGGATCGGCCACCAGCGCACAAATGCCCGTATAAGAAGTGTGGCAAGGATTTTAGCCGGCATGATAACCTCCGTCAGCACATGCGCGTGCATAGAAACGAGCCGCTAGACTCTGAAGAGATGGTTTCGGCCTGAGTCAGCGTCGGGTGCCTCGATATCGTTTTCACCTCCGTCTTCTGATTCTTTTCGAAGGGATTTTGCTGGATTCTCTGGTTGTAACATTTCCCCCAACGATGTATCTATGGTAACTATTCCCTGTAACAATAGGCAGTCTCTCTACTATTGTGTGTAGTCACACTGTTTGTAGCCCTCCCACTAGGATGTATCAGTACCCTCGTAGTTTCCCGCCTATCTTCCTGCTCTGCAAGGACTTTTCGTCCCTTTAGCAGCGTTCCCGCAATTAGACCATATTCGCGTACTCACGGACGCAATGTCCTCGCCCTGGATCGTGTCTGCATCTCCGGTGCGAATTACACATTTCCCGGCGTTTGAGGCGCGTCCACGTGCTTCAGTCGTGGTGCCGTTCCTGTGGTTTGCGCCCGCCGGGGTGGCCATGGCCGTGCGCTAGCACGAAGCGCACCCGGATGTCCCGGTGGAGTCGTCCGCGCGACGGTATCGGTAAACGCACGGGACGGGACCTGCGAGGCACCGCGGCAGCTCGCGCAAGGCGTTTGCAAGGATTATTTTGGCTGAACGGGGTCCTCCTACAGAGTCCGGGCATTTCGGGAGCGCCGCGCACTAGTCTGTAGTATGTCTCAGAGCGGCCTCTCGCCCACGCGCCGGCAATAGCCAACCCGTCCGCGGCCCCGGCCGTCCTAGAGAAGTGGGAAACAAACTTCCCCGAGGTTTCCTGGGGTGGCGGTCGGTGCTTGCGCCGCGCATGTGCAAGCTGTTTATTTTTCGAGGGTCATACGGCCCGTCGGGCACGCACGAGACGTCTCGGAACCGGAAGCTTGCGCCGTCTTCGCGCGTCCTTTTGTGCTGGACGACATGGCACACACTGTATCACCGCGGGCCTTGTCATCACGGACAAGCTCCAGGCAAGGGCGGCTGTTCATTTGTATTGCTGGGACGCCGGTAACGCCACGCTTGTTCCTCATCCGGTAGGTGGAAAGGACGAGCAGTTTGGTAGCCTCGTGTTCGAGATTGATGGGCGGTGCCGCCGCGCAGCCCCGCGCCTATTGTCTAATTGTCAAGTTAGACCCCGAAGCAAGGCGGGAGTGTCGCCCACCCACGGACCATCCGCGTCACGCGGTGCGCTCAAAAGGCTGTGTCGCGGTACCCTCTATGACAGATCTCGGATGTCAGGATGATTGAACCTTGCCTTGTAACGGCCAACACTATGAAAGAATTCGGTGACACGCGCGCCGAGCACGGCCTGGACAGCCAGTTCGCGAGCATCGCCAATTATGTCCTCACTGACGGCCCAAAAACTGACATGCAGCAGCTCGACAAATCAGCCTGCAGCGTTCATTTGCCACTGTCAGGATGGATGCTCTGTTACTGCCTATGAATGGTTTTGATGATAAGTCGGCGCCTGCAGTGAACGCATGAGCAAACAAGGGCTGTGTTCCCAAAAAGACGCTGTTCACTTTCGGAATATGCGGAATGCAAGCTTAGGAAAATGGGGTATATGACAGTACCAGGTCATCTATGGTATTGCGCCAGTGGTTATTTTGTATGCGAGACGGGATTACAAAATCATATGAATACAGCGATGGTATGGGTAGGATGCACTGCCGCAGCCTACGATGAGTACAGCATAGTCGACAAAAGCTCTGACACCTCACAGATACAGTACATCACAAGGGCGGCTGCAACTGGAGCATGCAAGCAATAAAATTAAGATGAGAGCCCACAGGGCAAGGGTAGGAAGCTGAACGACGGAGTCTCGTGTGGTTTAAACACGCTACGCGTCGTCTGTCATGATTGCGAAAAACTCTTGCTCGTTGATCTCCCCATCTTGGTCGAGGTCGAACTCATCAATCATAGCTTGTCTGGACACATGTCAGGTAAGTGCAACACGAGGCAAAAAGAATATGATACACACAGTTCGTCGTCCTCCAGCCTGTCCCCGATCTCCTTGGCCACACGGCGCAAGTTGCGCAGGCTGATTTTGCCAGTGTTGTCATCGTCGAAGAGTTGGAACGCGCGTCGAATCTCTTCCATAGGATCTCGCGCAAGTATCCGTTCGCTCACTGAGGTGAAAGGCACGTCCGTTAGGCCCGCGCTTGAGTTAGGCCACGAGTGCATGCGACTCAACTGATTTTCGCAAAGTCCTCAAAGTCCATCAATCCGTGTCCTGTCTTGTCGTGATCTCTGAGAATCTTGAGCACCTCCGCTTTCTTCATGTCGAATCCGAGTGCACGCATCGCGACCTTGAGCTCATGGTAGTCGACACAGCCGTCCTTGTCCGTGTCGAAAAGCTCGAAAGCTTCTTTGATCTCCTGCTTCTGCTCGTCGGTGAGTTCTGGCCTGGAGTGCGTGCGACGTTTCGCTTTCTGGACAGCGGATGAACCGTACATGTTCTTGTATGTTTGACGCGAGAGAATACCGAAGTGCGCGCGCGTCGAGTTCGAGGAGAAAGATGAACGCGAGTCGCGAGACTGCAAGCCACGAGGCCGCGATCGGCCGGCAGCATTCCAAACTTGGTGCCGAAATCCGAAACCTGTGCTATCCCCGGCAGGCTCCGTTACCCTACATTTGGAACGCCGGGGGCAAGCTCAAGTGCTCAAGCTCACTCCATCTTCCCCGTGTTTTGCAGCTCTCTTTGCTCAGCATTTCGGACACGGATTCAATATTTAATGCGCTTTGAACAGAAATATTCAAACCTATGTACCGACCCATTGCTGCGCAGTTCGCCCGGCAGAGCCGTCTCACGAAGTGTTTCACTTATCACCTGCAACTTGCCACCGCGCGGAGCATGAGGCATCCTGCCAGCGTGAGCTCTAGATCAGAGTATATATACGAGCCATCTCCATTTCGCACTCAGAGATCTTGCTACGCTACCATGGCCATCGAAGTCTCTCCTCTGCCTCTTCCCCGATCTGCTGATCCCTCCAAGTTCACGGAGTTCGGCCGTGAGGTTAAAGGAGTCAATCCAGGGACGCTGACACCTGAGGAGTTCAAGGAGATCGAACAGCTGCTATACAAGGTGTGTCCAGGACGTCTTGAGCCGTAGACAGGCCCTGATGCATTCTGCCAGCACTCTGCCTTACTCTTCAGGAATACCGACCTTACCCCAGAACAGCAGTATGCTCTCACCAAGGTATGATCCACAAGCTCGCTCCCTTCAAGTCTGCCTTACTGAGACTATACGTCTAGGCATTTGACCCCACAGCTGACAGTTATGGACACGGGAACAACAAGACAGGGGAGACGAAGAAGTCCATCCTCCACCCAGATCTCAAGACGATCCCTCATGTGCCTCAGGTACAGCTGATCGGTAACGGGACTGTCTACAATCACGAGGGCCTTGCAGAGGCGAAGCTCAAGCACCCGTCGCACACGACCTTCCACAAGACTCGAGTTTCAGAAGAGGACGAGGCCAGGGGCGTCACGCGCTTCTACCGCTGGCACATCGACGCTGCGCTCTATGACCTCTCGCCGCCGAGGGTTACAACACTCTACGGCATCTCTATACCCAAGGGCTCCAAGCAGGTCTGCAGGTACGATGACGATACTGGCGACGAGCTTGAGGTCCCGCTCGGCACCACTGCCTTCGTCTCCGGCAAGACCATGTTTGACATTCTCCCATCCGAGTTCAAGAGCCTTGCTGTCCGTTCACGCGTCAAATATATGCCCCACCCGTACATCTGGATGACACCTGCACACGCGAAGTCGACCGGCCTTGGCATCGAGACTGAGGGCCTCGAGGCGCCCATGGACGAACTTCCGCCATGGGAAGAGTCTAAGGTCAAGGTCTTCCCTGTGGTATGTACACACCAATCCTGCGTGTTCTTCATGGCTAATTGGGCTCTCAGCTTTGGAAGAACCCGGTGACCGGCAATCTGCACTTCGAGGTCCACCCCTGCGGCGTATGTGAGCTCTTCGTCGATCCACTTCCACAGGGTGCCAAGCGCGAGGGTGCGCTGTACCCAGATGGCGCACACATCACCGACCTTGGCACGGTGCGAGACACCCTTTACAAGATGCAGCGGCCTGCAATCGCACCCAGCGTGAGTTTCTGCACTACGGTTTGACTGCTGAACGATGGTTGACCAAGTTGCCATAGCTCGTGTACCCACACGACTGGCACGAGAAGGACCTCTTTCTCTTCCACAACCGCGGTGTGCTTCACTCGGTCGTCGGCGCCTTTAAGCCCGACCAGGTTCGCGCTTTCCACCAGTGCAACCTCGCTGCCTCGGACGATCCCGTTGGTCCAAACGCGGAGGATGTGAAGAAGTGGGCATGACCTAAGCCCGTTGTACACCCATGACTAAGATGGGGAATCAGATGTGTTCAATACAGATCCTAGCTTCTCTATCAGATAACCTGTACTACTATCATTGGCTCATTTTCACTACATATACTGCCTTAGCTTCACACGCGCTTTGCACGATGGCGATGGCTGCCTTGAACATTTTGTCGATGGAGAGCCTCCAATCCCCGCCGCGAGATTTCAACGGTACCGAGAAAGTGATCATTAGCCCCTGCCATGCTTTCCACACCCGCTCCACTGTCTCCGCGCGCCAAGGGGCAGGCACCCTGCAGTCTCAGAGTCCAGCGGAAGTATATCTTGCCCTTAATGAATGATCCAGAGTGCCACCACGCAAGGCCGATCCTCGTTAACGACGAGCACTCCTTAACGATAATTAACCCCTCGCTCCAGTCGATTGGTGCAACAGCAGTCTCGCCCAAGCGACATAGGGGGAGAAATCGGCGTTCGATCGTGCCTTGTCCGCTCTGGTCGACCTGCCTTTCCTGAACAGCATGCTCAAACCCCTGTACATGTTCTCCAAGTTGCAGTTCACATGGGCATATGTCATCATCGCCTCGAGCTCGTTAGCGGCGGAGAATACCATGACCGAACGCAGACTTGCAGAATAAACATTGCACTTGCACAGTATATGATGGTGTTATAGCTGTCGCTGATAGACTCGCAACTCCGATGCGGAAAAACGTGAACATCGTATGCCTCACCTGAATCACTGGTCAAAATTAAGACAAATTAGAAGAAATCAGGCTGGTATCTCAAAACTTAAGGCTTCAATTTTCCTGAGCATTCGTAACTCAAGAGGACTATGCGAACCGCATATAACCTCGTAGACGCTGCCTGCCTTCCAGTCCAGCTCCCACATCCTTGTTTCAGTCGAGAGTGAAGCCACGAACCACGTTCGCATACTCGGCCGTAGTGTCAATAAAAGAGAGTGGAGTCTTCGGCACCGGTGTGAAGTTCGCACCGTTGCGTGCCGACAGCTCAACGAAGTCGCGGCTTTGCTGCTGGCTGCTGTTGCTGCTACAGCGCACTCTCAGCACTCGCTTTTCAACCAGAATGTTGTAAGATCACGTACCTTCCCTCGACGAGACTCTTGACGACATTGTATCCGGCCTTCGCGACATCCCAGATTGTGCTCAGGCTGAGCGCACCAGTCTCGTCATCGTCGACAGCGGCACGAGCCATCAGCTCGATGAAATCGCGACTCTGTTGTTGGTTGCTGCTGCTGCTGCTGCTGCCGCTACCGTCGATGATGCCTTTGACGGCGTGGTACCCAGCCTTTGCGACATCCCAAATAGCATTCAGGCTGAGCGCGCCGGTCTCGTCGTCAGCAGCGGCGCGGGCGAGCATCTCGATGAACTTGCGGCGCTGCTTCTGTTGCTGATTCGTTGGAGGCTGATTTTGGCTGTAATTGAGCGGATGGGCACCACAAACAGCATATATATAGCCAGACTTACTTATCATCAACATAGTCCTGGAGGCGATCAGTGACCCAGGGCAATACCTTCGTACCCGCTGAGGCAATAGGAACCCAGTTTATGGCTCCACTCTCCTCATCAGCACGGGCCACGAGAGTATCGAAGTCAACGAAGTCGCGCTGCTGCTGCTGCTGCTGCTGCTGGTTGTTGTTGCTACTGTCGAGATATAGCGCGGGTGTAAGTAAAGTTCGCATGGACTCGGCAGACAGTATCCGAACTTTTCATCGAAGATTGCCTTGCCGACCTTGAAGACATCCTTAGCACCATTCCACAGCATGCTAAGAGAGAGAGCCTCGCTGTCATCCTGGCGAGCCACAATATCGGTGGTGCAGGTGGTCGGGTAGCGATCGCAGAAAGTGTTCTTCAGGTTGAGCGGAGCACCATATGCGGGGGCAGAAGCAGCAGCAAGGATAAATATGAATGATGTAGAGCGCATGTTGAGGTTGTTGGAAGATTGTGAGGCGTAAAGAGTGCGTTTCGTGTAAAGTCCTGAAGGGTATAAAGAAGGAG